TGCCCAGAATGGAAATGCAAGATCATATGGTGATTTTAATTTTTATTTTTTGAGGAACCACCATACTGTTTTCCATAGTGGTTGCCCAATTTTACATTCTCACCAGCAGTGCAGAGTGATTCCAATTTTTTCACATCCTCACTAACATTTTTTGTCTGCTTTTTAAATTTTTCAATAGTAGCTATCCTAATGGGTGTAAGATGGTCCCTTTCGTGTTTTTTTTTTTTTTTTTAGATTTATTTATTTATGTGAGAGAGAGAGAGAGAGAGAGAGAGAGAGGGGCAGAGATACAGGCAGAGGGAGAAGCCGGCTCCATGCAGGGAGCCCAATGTGGGACTTGATCCTGGGTCTCCAGGACCAGGCCCTGGGCTGAAGGGGGCGCTAAATCACTGAGCCACCTGGGCTGCCCATCCCTTTAGTTTAGTTTTTTTTTTTTTTTTTTTTTAAGATTTATTTATTTATTTATGATAGAGAGAGAGAGAGAGAGAGAGAGAGAGAGGCAGAGACACAGGAGGGAGAAGCAGGCTCCATGCCGGGAGCCCGGGACTCCAGGATCGTGCCCTGGGCCAAAGGCAGGCGCTAAACCACTGAGCCACCCAGGGATCCCCTCATCCCTTTAGTTTTTAAAGACACATGTATCTGCTCTCATCTCCTGAGAGATACATCTACCAGAATATGTCACTATAGCCTTCTGGTACCTGGCTGTTTCTCTTGTCTCTGGTAATGACAATAACTAAAAAATAACTGATAACTTGCTTCTCTTTCTCTTTTGAGGCAAGCTATGATCCTGAGCCCTCAGTGGTAGTTGCTTAGACAGCTGAGAACTTTTATCTTCTGCCTTGAGTCAATATGGTTTAATAGCTCAGATTGTGGACTATGAAGCCAGATGCTTGGGTTATAATCCTGGCATTGGCATTTATTAGATCTGGGACAAGTTAGTATGGCACAGTTTCTTTAGCTATAAAATGAAGCTAATAATAGAGTTACTACGAGGAGTAAGTAAGTTAATACATAAAAATACTTAAAGTGGTTTCTGGTACATGATTGGCACTCCGTCAGTAGTAGCAATTGTTACCCCTCTGTTGCACACCCTACTACTACATCCACTCTTCCAACTACTGTAGAAGATAGTTACTATTATTACTTACTATTTTATAGGCACAAAAGCTGAAATTTAGAAAGGTTAAATAATTGATTTAAGGTGACCAGCTGTTAAATAGAAGAGTTGAGATTTGTTCTGAATCTGACCCTAGAGCCCTTTCCTAACATGTTCTATATTGATGACTCCAGTTTGGGAGAGCGAATGACATGGACAGCTTCACTTTTGATGGGGGAAGGGCAACTATTATTACTAGTAGACCATTGGAGACTAAAGTAAACATACCATCACCTTTCCCCCCATTGTGTCTCTCATCCCATGAATAAAGAGCAGATGTGAACGTTGCTGCCAGCCACTTGCTTGTTAGATGAAAAGTGACTTGGCCATGATCATCACAAAATTAACTTTTAGGTCGTGGTGATTTTAATAGGGCATGTGAAATGTAAGTCTCCACAGGGTTCATAAACTTTAATTTAGAAGTGCTTTTGATTCTAATAAAAATCTATTTTTACTTGCCGTAAGATAGTAAAGAAAAAAAATCTCTGGAAGGGTTCTGGATGCCTTAAAGGAAAATTTGATTAGATGGTCTTGTGTTTCACTAACACAGATGAGAAACTTCTGAATACACTGGTAAAATGGAATGATGTGCCCCACTTTTTATTTAAATTCCATTACACTTATCTCCAGGAATTAGCAAAAAAAATTTTTTTTCTGCTAATAAAAATCATTAAGAGTTATTTGATATCATAAAAAATAACTTACTTGAAGATAAAATTTATCCTGATATAAATACTGGTTTTGAAAATGGAAGAAAGCATCAAATATTATATGTAACTCTCTGCTAAAAGAAAAATAACCTTAAGTCTTACTCCATAGGTATTTTTGTTCTTCATAATAGGGAATAACATGAACATTTGTATTTTTAGAGTTACAAAGACCATTAAGGAGAAAGCTTTTCTGAAATAGAGTAAAACATGGTTGATTTGCATTCTTTGTTGGGCCTGTATACTTAGTATTCATTGTATTCCATATGGATTAGGATATCTGTCTTTGCTATATCTATTATGGAGGATTTGTTAAAACAATTTAATGATTTTTTTGTCTGCAAATGGTGCTACTAATTTCAGGTTGGCCTTTTTCTCCCTTATGTTAGACACCGTGTCTCTTCCCAAGATCCACCTTTCATCTCCCTGCCAAATGCACTTCTGGAGCACAGGCATCTTCCTCCCACTATCAAGTTAGTCTTGTAAGTCTGTAAATAAACGGAGTGTCTTCTCATTTCCTTGCCTGCTAGTGGATCACCAGTTTTTGGCCGGGGGTGTCATCCTGGTTTTCTGGGTGTATCAATGAGAAGAAACCACCTTTGGGCCAAGCTTCCTTCTCCCTCATAAGACTATCTTGAGATTGGCCCTCAGGTCAGTTCAGTCTTTCAACCATCTCCTTAGTTTTCCATTCTTCTTTATTCCATTTCTTTGCTCCTGAAATAGCTCCATTGTTTTTGCAGTCCTTAAACCCTGACGACCTTTACTCATGAGACTTTTTAGGACTGTTTGCCATCAACCCATCATCCCATTTCTGGGTTAAAGCTATTCTGATTTCCTCATTGGTTTACTACTTGTAATTCACCTTCTTCATAGAATTGTCAAAGTAACTTTTCTAAAATACTTACTTTCATACCACTTTCTCACTTAAGGACCTATAAAGTCTCCTTATTGTATATTAGATAAAATATAAATGCCTCTTCCCTATATGTAAAACCCTATGTCATTTGACTCTTCTTCAGTTATTACCTTAGTTTCCTTTACTAGTCCTTGAGTAGATTCTCTGATCTACTCTTGCCATTTCCATTATCCCAGCTGGTCTTGTCTCCCACGTGTCCCAGAAAACACACACACACACACTCTCTCTCTCAAAATACCAGTTTTCTCTCTACATCTGAAACTAATGCTGTACTATATGTTGGCTAATTGAATTTAAATTTTTTAAAAAATACCAATTTCCTTCTGTCTATTTGAGGAGGAGAGCCCATTCCTCTTGGGATGTCCTTTGCTATTCAGATTCCATTCCATTAAAGTTGATTTCTTTAAAAATCATCTCCAAAAAGCTGTCTGTTGCTCGGTTTCATCCCAATGGAACTTCTCAATAATCTTGGAATATATAATCTTCTATGGAATCTTGGAATCCTAGGGCTGGATTCAGTTGTAGCTCATACCGGCTTTAAGCATTGCCTCCCACAACAGCTTTAAGAGATTCATCTTTCATTCTTCCTTCCAACTTGGTACTGGACTAGCACTCTGATGGGCTGTGAATGAAAGATGAAAGAAGGTGCCTGCTCTTAAGAACCTTACGCTTTTTCAGATATGGGAAACAGAAACAGGTCAGTTACAAGGCCTTCTGTACAAGGCAGGGTGATCACACGGGAGAAGGTGACTGACACCGAGTAGTAGGGAAGAGGAGGTGATGCTTGAGCTGTGTTTTGAGGGGTGAGGAGGAACTATGCAGGAGACATGTCAGAGCATTCCCAGCAAAGGAGCAGCATGGAATGGTCTTTCACTTTCTGAATCTAGCGTGCGTCCAGTCTAGTGTGCATCCAGTCAGCACTACACTACCTCACAATGACCTGGAAATTAACTTCTTGTTTAACAAAAATCTCAATTTCCTCCAAACAGACGATGATTTATTTTTAAGAGGAGAAGGGTCCTATTTTCCGTAGCTTTTGTATCCTTCACATTATCTAGTAGTATTGAGTACAAAGTAGGTGCTATTCTGTGTTTTGTTTTAACACAAAGGAATGCCTCAGACTCATTGTGATGATGGATTTACCCTGCTTGTCTAGCACTCTGAATTCCAACAATTTATTCTTGCTGCCTGTGTCTCCTGTATCCATTCTTCTGTTTTCTTTTGTGACCAACACTGTGTGCATACAAGATGATTGGTCCATATTATGGAAGTCTTTAGCTGTGGAATGAAAAAGAACTAACTGGTCTAAATGGGAGTGGAAGCTGTGGTCTTGAGCTTCCAGATTGATGGTTTAAGCAAGTGAGTAAATCAGCCACAGGCTGGTGACACTTGCTTATGGAATGGTTCGAATAATTCTTTTGTAATATCCTAGACATAAGTTATGATTGTTTTAAGCTTGATGAGTCATCCCATCGGGATTCTTTCTTTGTCAGTGATGCTTTTTAAGACCTTTAGGTTCTTGAAGCAAGTCTGCCTCTGCTCTATAGCTCAATTCACCACTGTCTCCCCTCAGGGAATTTGGCACTAGCTTGGCAAACTAAATAGTATAGAGTATTTGAAGATTGTTTTTTTGTGGAGGAAGAGAGGTTTGTGGCAGTGTTTTTCTTTTATGATGGATGTGATAGTGTGATAGATGAAGCAGCTGTTTGTCCCCTAGTATCTCCCTTCTTCCGTGTCAAAAGAATCCTAATTTTCAGCCGGGCATGTTGTTACCCTGAATAAATATTCAATTTCCCTCACTCTCCTGGTAGCTTTGGGCAGTGTGACTAAATTCAGAGCAATACGATGTGGGAGGATGTAATGTAAGCAACTACTTGCTTGAATTCTTTAATTAGGGAGCTTGCCCTCCCCTTCCTGATTTTTTTTTCACCTTCCCACTGTGGAATGTAGCTGTGATGGTTAGCTGTCCTGGACTTTGGGGATGAGGGCAACACCTTTGGGATGGAAAAGCAGCAAGATAGAAGGAACCTGGGGCTCTCAGTAGAACTACCACATGAGCCCTGGACTGCTGATGCTTGGAACTATTATGTCAAAGAGAAATAATTGTCTGTTTAAGCTGTGATCGTTGTCGGTCTCTGTTTCAGAGCTCATTAGTATACCAGGGGATAGAAAAAGTATGAGGTTCAGTGTCAGTTGAGTGATATGAATAAGATGAGAAACATACTTTTAAAGATATTTAATAAGTCTTTTTTTCAAATCAGTACAAAAATTTAAATACAAAAATGATTTGCTATTGACAAGTCTCAAATCTATCATGGAAACTCAAAAAAAAAAAAGTCACCAGTTTTTTATAGAGCACCTTTCATGGTTTTCTATAAAATATTTGAGAACAGTCACCCACTATAGACATTCTTTTCCTCTGTGGTATGTCATACTGCATTAAAACTCTGTGTTTAAATAACGTAATGCCAGTTTGGTCCATTTCACAAGGAAAAGTTCTAGTTGATTTTTGAATTAAATAGGGATTATAACACTATCCCTAGACTTTTGAGCATGTGGTTGTTTCATCTGTTTTTACACTAATGTGTTAACATGATGTGCAACACTTAAAAGGGAAACAGACATATAGATAATTATTTAAAACTCTTTTTTTAAATTATATGGAGTAATTCATTTAGCTCTGAGATTAGCACCATTGTAGAATACACAGTATCTGGCATAGATTTTGCTCCTTCCCTATCTAAAAGTTAGAAGCATATGCCTGATAATATACACACTCACGCACATTATATATATATATATATATGTATATTTAGGCAATTGAGTAACAACGAATAAATAAGTTGGAAGGTATTTTTAAAAGTGAAATTTGGTCTTAACTAAAGAGGTACTGTCTTTCATACCTGGTGGAAATAAAAAGCCCATACATGTACAGATAAATACGATTTATGGATCAGCTGATCTGACTTGCTTCCAAGCCATTTCAATGCAGCTATTCAGCAGAAGGAGCTTAATGGATCCCTGTTGCCTCCATAGTCATCAGTCCAAAACCAGTATCCTCAAGACCAACCTGAAGGATGTTTGACCATATAGATGCTGTCTGCTTTGAAAATGAAGTTTGGGTTGGAAAATGAAGTTTGGGTCAGAAATCTTTTGATGGGAAAAGTTTGTCGTAAAATTAGCAGTGCCCTGGTAGTGAATTCATTTCTCTTAAGAAATCAAGAAGAAAAGGTGCTCGTATACCATATAGGGGAAAGACACCTATTAGGCCGAGGAGAATTTTCTTGATGGTTAAAATGATTCAGATTTGACATAGACACATTTCCATGTGTGTTTATACCGTATTTATTTGTGTATTTTTCCACCTGTACCTTTCCCCTCAATTTCTTACTCTTAATTTTGAGGAACAGAACGTTCTACTACCATAGCCCCACATTATTTCCCACAGTGGCTTTATAGTATCAGCAACAGACTCATAGCTGACTGAAATATTTTGCCCACGTTTTGAGACCAGATTTGAATGCCCGCAGCAGTTAGTATGTACCTAAGTGAAAACCTGGAAGGATACTAATTTTTCTCTTTAAACCTATATTGACTCTTGCCTTGCACTGAGTATGAGGTGCCCGAAGTACGGGCTCTTACTGCCCTCTGACATTTCAGATAGCTCTTCCACAGGTTGCTTCTAAAGAAAGACTTCTTTTCCTATAATTTTAGTACCCACACTAGGAAGTAGTATATCCCATTTCTAAATTTAAAACTTCAGAAATCGTTTTTTCTTTTTTCTCTTTTTTTTTTCCCAAAAAAAACTACTTTCCTATAGAATTCTGAAACTCTGAAACGTTTTTTCTTGTCAAAAAAAAAGATGGCTTGGATTTTGAAAATTGGCTTTGGAACCTCAGACGATATGCCAACTTGCATATATCCTGTACCAGGAAATTTCTTCAAAATTCAGTAGCTACTGAAAAATACTGATCACCCCTTCAAGAGCGAAACCTCATTGTAGTCATTTGTATGGTAGGCAAAGGAGGCGGATTTTTATATGCATGTAAACGCAATTAAAAATTGCTGTTGATAATGAACATTCCACAATGCTGGAAAATCATTTTTTTCCTTGTGACTTCCACATGTTTTATATTAATTGGGTCATAGTGGAAGTTACATGGTGGAAAGAAAAAAAAATTACAGAAAATGAAACAAAAAGGATCCTCGAGAAATAAGTGAATTAATTCCTGCTCCTGTCTCCCACCAGGTTTTTTAGCTCCTGTCTTATATCCCCCAAATGGCTCATCCAGTGCGAAGCACACAGGGTTTGCTGAGTAAATAACACAGCAGGCAATTGGCTCATTTGTTCTTTTAGAGACACGAGATAACACAATTCTGAGTAGGACTCATGTTGATAAAAGACCTGGTCTCTGACAGGCAGGAAATAGCCCTTGGACTAACACCCTACTGCTCCCCCTGACTCCTTCCCACCAGGACTATAACACAGCAGAAGTGCTTCCCCACCTTCCCTGACAAAACACCCTCCTATATACAGAGGAAATTATGCAAGTAAATACGGTATATATACTTGTTATCATTAACATTTCTTTAAGCCATATTTATAAATCTTTAAACAATGTGAGCAAGTGACTTTTCATTAGCTATGATCTTTCATACTGAAATATTTTGACTGATCTGAATAAGCAGGTTATCATGGAAGCATATAACAATACAACAGCTAATATGATTCCAGTGGGTACAACACAAGTGTCAGTACTTGATACATAAATCTATCCCATCATTTTTAATTACAGGCTGCTATGCAGAGCATTTAACATGCATCTTAGTTTTTATTTGTACATGATGGTTCAGATTTTCACTTAAATATGACTTTCCAACTATATAAATGTTTTGAAGCAATTATGTTTTTCATTTGGATCTTTTCGGTGTGTCATTTTCTTTTCTTCTATTAAATCTCTCTTTCTTTTCTTTTTTTTTTACATGGGATATAATAAATATCCTGAAAAGGAGGAATGGACGTACTGCCCCGCATACAGTCCTGCAGCCTGTTCTGAGGGCAGTTGGAGGAACACTCGGTCTCCGGGCCTGAGCAGCAGCACCGCACTCCCAGATGCCTGGTCCAGAAAGCCCTTTTTGTACTCATCGTACGTGTACATCATGGGCTCGTTGTTCTTGAACAGAGCAACCCACACATTGCCCCCCTTGCAGTGAACGTGGTATGCAAAGTAGTAGACCCCAGGGACCTCGCAGGTGAAGATGCCCGTCTGTGGGTTGTAGTTCTGTCTGCCGTTATAGAGCAGTTTGTCAAACTTCACTGGGGCCCCCACAGGTGGGAAAGGCGCAGTCAGCTCAGCTGTGAAGGCAGGCATCTCGTAGGCTGGCCCTCCGTTCTTGCCTTTCTTAGCCCCATAGGCATGGGGGGGTTTCACTCCATCGATTCCCAGCCCCATATCTGGCAGATACTCTCCATGGGGTGGTGGTGTCGGGGGCATCACAGCTGGAGGGCCTGGGGGCCCTGGAGGGCCTGGGGGCCCTGGAAGGCCCGGCTGGCCTTGAGGACCAAGGGCACCAGGCTTCCCTGGGGGCCCATGAAGTCCTGCTACTCCAGGCTTCCCTACTCCAGGGAACCCAGGGGGCCCTGGGATGCCTGGTTCCCCTTTTGGGCCTGGCATTCCAGGTGGTCCAATGGGCCCACTGGGGCCTGCGATCCCTGGGATGCCTGGAGGGCCCTGTAGACCTTGATCCCCTGGGATTCCTGGTTCTCCCTTTGGTCCAAGCAGCCCTGGAGCCCCAGGGAGCCCTGGTAACCCTTTGTGCCCAGCTTCCCCCTTGGGCCCTATGGGACCTGGCAAGCCCCTCATGCCAGGGGGCCCTACTTCACCAAGGAAACCTGGCTTTCCTGGGAAGCCTTGAAGCCCTGGCTCACCCTTGGGACCTGGTGGCCCCTGTGGCCCTACAATGCCACCTTCTCCCTTGGGTCCGGGAAAACCAATAGCACCTGGAGGACCCATAGGACCTGGGATTCCAGGCAGGCCTGGCTCTCCTGGGGGGCCCCCCATTCCAGGGGCACCGACTGGTCCTTTCTCCCCTCTTGGTCCTAGAGCCCCAGGAAGACCCCCTATGCCCTTGTCACCCTTAGGTCCTGGGAAGCCCGGTTTCCCAATCCCTGGAAGGCCTGGGGGTCCTGGCAGCCCTGGCAGTCCTTGCTCCCCTTTGCCACCTGGAAATCCTGGCTGGCCAGGGATCCCATCCTGGCCTGGCTTTCCAACTCCAGGCATCCCAGGAGGCCCTTGAACTCCTGGGACCCCAACAGGGCCTTGGGGCCCAGGTTCCCCTGGAGGACCTGGCTTTCCCAGGGGGCCTTGGGGCCCAGGGAAGCCTGTCACTCCTGGTTTTCCCACCCCGGGAAGTCCAACAGGGCCAGGGGGGCCATGCATCCCTGGAGGACCCTTTAGGCCTGGCAGACCTGGCATCCCGAAGCCCTTCTCTCCTTTCGGACCCTGAAGGCCTGGAGGTCCCGGGAGACCTTTGGGTCCTCGCTCTCCCTTTGCACCTGGCTGCCCTGGTAGCCCTGGCCCACCTGGTTTTCCAATGCCAGGAAGTCCATGAGGCCCTGGAGGTCCTTGAGGCCCTGGGATCCCCATAGGCCCGATCTCCCCTTTGGGTCCAATGTCACCTTTTGCCCCTGGCATTCCCATGGCTCCTGGCTTTCCTGGCATCCCAGGCATACCTGGTTTTCCAATTCCTGGGTATCCCTGTGGCCCTGGTTTTCCTTTGGTTCCAGGTATCCCGTGACCTGGTAAGCCGGGGGGCCCCGGGGGTCCTCTTGGGCCGGGCTCTCCACGGGGGCCTTGCTCCCCTCGTAAACTGGCTAATGGTATTTCTAGTGGGAGAGAGGGGACAGAGAGAGTGGGGGGGGGAAGAGAGAGAAATTAGTATTTATTATTCCTTATTGAAGAAGTCATGATGATCACTACTTAGTTCTGACACCTCAGCCCATCACTGACTGAGAGGAGAGACCAGGAACCATGTGTTCATCTTCCAGGACTCTGATATCAGGACTTACACAGCAGTTAAGCTAATAATTGCTTTGTCCTGTTTGAAATACTGTTTAGAGAATGGGTATCTGTAGCTGCTCTTGTCAGCACTGGTTCAAGTTAAATAAAGCTAAAAAGTAATGAAGAAACATGTTTCCAAGTACAAAACTCCCAAGTTTCCTTATGATTGTGGTAATTATGAAGATTTTGGAAAATTCAAAAGAAGGGTAAAGAAAAATCAAAGTTGCCTATAATCACCTGACATTTGTATGTATTTCCATGCCATATGTTCTAGGTGTGTGTATGTATGTGCATACACGTGCATGTGTGTGTATTTTAAACAATGGAGTCATTCCCCATTTTTACTACTTTTTACTTAATGCTATATTTTTCCACATCTTTGATTTTTTTTATATAATAATTTATGGCTAAATAATATTTCCTCTTGTGTTGAAATACAGTCTAATGAATTTAGTGAAAGTAATTATCATGTAGATTCAGGGAAGAATAGAAGCATTTTATCTTGTAGGTGGTTTAATAACATCTTCTACATGGCACATCTGGGTGGCTCAGTCAGTTGGGTGGCTGACTCTTAATTTTAGCTCGGGTAATAATCTCAGGGTCATGGGATCAAGCCCCACCTAGGGCTCCATGCATAGCAGGGAGTCTGCTTGAGATTCTCTCCCTCTATTCCTCCCCTGCATGCATGTGCACACACGTACAATCTCTCTCTTTCTCTATCTCAAATAAATAAATCTTAAAAAAAATAAAATAAAATAGGGATGCCTGGTGGCTCAAGCAGTTGAGCACCTGCCTTCTGCCCAGGGCATGATCCTGGAGTCCCGGGATCAAGTCCTACATCGGGTTCCCTGCAGGGAGCCTGCTTCTCCCTCTGCCTATGTCTCTGCCTCTCTCTGTGTCTTTTATGAATAGGTAAATAAAATCTTTAAAAAATAAAATAAAAATAAATAAATAACATCTTTCCCATCTGTCCTCTAGACCAAATATGTATGCTTAGTATCTTTAATGTGCTATAGGGTTTCCAGAGTCTCGTGGGAATTCAAATTTTTAATAAATTATTTCTCATTTGCAAATTAGGTTTAAAACAAGAGAAGTGAATAAGATACTTTAAGTTGACAAGCAGTGTGGAGAAGGAATTGAGCTGGAAAGAACAGAAAGTTCTTTATGGCCTTGAAATGAGGTCTGGACTGGACCACTTCAGTGTCTCTGCTTGCCTCTCTGTGCAGTAAGGCTAATACGACCATACTACATGATTAGATGATAGATGTGAGAGACATTAGGCTTTCACAAATGATCAAAATACAAAGCACATCTTTCTCACTATGATTACGCTCTGTCTTTCAGAGCAAAACAATTCTATATAGTAGTAGTATCTTGTATACTACTGAAATGAAATGAAATGAAATGAAATGAATGATAGTTTTATTTTAACCAATAGTCATATCTTAATCTTGACCATTATATTTTTCACTGAGCTACTCTCAGGGAACAAATGAGCCATAGAACTCATATTCTTAGCAAATGCTCCCAATGCAGTCTGGTTCCCATCAGAATGAGTTCAGGAAATGCCAAAAGCCAGGCAGGCCACTTAAGAAAGGAAGGAAAACAAATAGCTGAGATAATCTCCTAAGTAGACGATCAGCTCCTAAAGAGAAGAAGATTGGGGATACCTCATTTATGCTAGGTTGATATTCTAATACTATTAGGATATGTTCTTTCTAAGCAGTGAATTATGCAGCTACTATATCAAGAGCGTCTGGAGCAAGGTCATATTTTCTCATCAGGAGTCCTTGGTGTCCAGCACAGTGCCCAGAACATACCCTGCTCCTAGCTAAGGTTTCTTGAATGACCAGTTATAGCAACTCAAAAGTTTGTTACTTACCTATGCCTTTGATTTTCTCAACAAATCTTAACAGATGAAGAAAAAGTAGTTTCAGAGAGGTTTGTTTTTTGTTTTGGGTTTTTTTTTTTTTAGTTGAAATATAGTTGACATACAATATTATATTATTTTCAAGTCTTTCATTTCTGGCCTCTAGGCTTCTTAGCACCAAATCCACTAGTACCCCAGAAGTAGAGCTTCTTGCCTTTTCAGGGACCAGTGGGAATGACCTCTGTTTCCTCAAGGGGAATTCTGTGCTGATGCAGTTACTTTCCTACAAATACTAGGTTTCCAAGGAATCCAGATATACCTCATGAAGTTTAAAAAGGTGTCTCTCACAGTGATAAGCATTTTGTAGGTGTTGAATAATGAATATGGCAGGAAAGCCATGGGAAAAATTTTCATCTCTACCTGCAGTCCTTACCCTTCATAGTCTCCTATCAGTTTATTGACTAACTGTTGTAATAGCTTAATTAAAGTGCTCTTAAAAACACTGGCATTTGTCTAGCACCTTGTTCACAAAGTGCTTTCAAATACATATATATGTGTGTGTGTATATATATATATATATATTTTTTTTTTTTTTTTTAACACAGTAGTTCCTTACAACATTGTTCTTCTACCTCAGAAGACTGACTAGTCACCTTTTTAAATTTTGAGTTATCCAGAGATTTACTGAAACAGAAACAAGTTGGCCAGATACTCGCTTGGAAAAAAAGCAGTTTTAATGGTATTCAAAAATATATTTTAAAAGGTATTCTAGCACAAGTTTTCTTTGTACACTAGATATGCTGTAAACTTTTTTGTAAATATTTTAAGGATGTCGGTTCTTAAGAACTAAAAGTTATTCCAAATCTATCTTGTGCTCCTGAAAAACTACAGAAAAGCACTTGAAAGCTGTTTCTTTAAGATCTGGATTTCTTTTTTTATTCTTGCTGGTAATATATTGCTGCACCGAATTATGTGCAGTTTTTCACTCAGGATCATCATGATGCTGGGAAATTTCATTGATAACCTATCCATCTCTAGTTTCAACCATCTTAATCAGAAGTGTCCTTTTTGAGTGAGTGTCAATCAGAGGGAGTGAATCCAGATTGGTTTTCTTCAGGTTCAGGGAAGAAAAGTTTGGGAGAACAGAGCAATCGTGCTCTCCGTGCCTTCTAGCAGCTTCCTGTAAGATTGTCACCTTTTCCCCCCACCGCTTTAGTCCCCCAGCATCTGGCCCAGCTTCTGACACAAAAATAGATGCTCATTAAATAGTTGCCAAACTATTGGATAGATAGTTTGATGGAATAGATAATGAATAAGGGAATAGATAATGAAAAAGGGAATAAATATAGGTTTGTGCCATATAATGCTGTTAAAATAATAAAGCACAACGTAAAACAGTAATTTTGTTTGTATTTTTAGGTCTTGAACTTTCCAAGGATAGAGTTAAGAACACAGTAAACAATGAATGTCAGTAACACATTCTAAAATAAAAATTTCTAAAATTTAGCTTCTCCCCCTGATCATACAGTTTCAGATTTTGGAAAGCTGCTGTTTTGTAACAGCACAGGAATATGATATGATGTTACCTTTGCCTTTCTTAGGTGCCGCTTCCTTGCCCATTCTTGGCACCGGCTGAATTTCCTTCATGTATTGGGGCAGATGTGGATACTCTTTGCCATACTGCACGTGGGGCAGCTCCTTGCCCATGCTAAGGCCATCTTTGCCCAAAGGCATGTGAGGTACTTGCTGGCCCAGAGGCTGGTATTGTGGAATTTGCGGTGGGATCTGAGGAGGAATTTGTGGTGGCAGTGGCTTGATCCCATAGTAAGCACCAGCCTGAATGAGCCTGACGGAGCCCAGGGAAATGGTAAGCAGCACTCCCAGCAGCTGCAGAGGGCCGGGCGGCGCAGCCATCACCTGTGGGAGGAATGAATGCACCGACATGGTGAGAACTAGCAGGCTACATGACAGGTTTGGTTAGATAAAAGAAACAGTCTTTATCATCAGAACGTCACCCATGGAAGACAAATGAAAAGGAGGAAGACTGTTACCTCTCAGTAGGAAACAAGCAAAAAACAGAAAGGAGAAGGAACTGTCAAATGAAGGCAGTGGGTGGGATCATAAACCATGGGAAATACTGCTGTATTGTATCCCTAAATATCAATCCTGCCTTCTTCCATAGTGTTGGAACTCTTAATTTTTAGCTGGAACAGAGCAGCCCAGGATAAAGATATTTCAGCCAGGTGTGGCGATGTGACAAAGTTCTCTCCAATTGGATGTAGTTGTAATGGGTACAACCTCTGAGAAGAATCTTGAGAGGGGCCCTGTTTTTCCTCTTCCTGCTGGCTGAAATGTGGAAATGTTGCCTGGAAACAGACCAGATGCCTTGGACCAGCAAGTGACCTCTGTGTACTGAGCATGGTGGAGCCAACAAGGTAGAAGAAACCTCAGCCTTGGTTGAATACTAAGGCCCCTAGTAATCCTTACATTTGAAATTTGTTTATGTAAGAAAGAGCTAAAGGTTTATCATCTCCTTTAATCACTTATTTTGAATGTCACACATTTGCACTAAATTGAATCCTAATAGATAAAGAGTACATTGTTCCAAAGGAGGCAAACTTGGTGGCCAGCCAGGCTTTTGTTAGTATGTGCCAAAATTCTATTCTAAGTGGAGATAGAAATTGATAGGTTTTATGCAGGAGTTGAGACTTTGCATCTGCCCTTTGGGTACTTTGGTATGGTCTCAGATAAATGTAAGAGTTAAAGAATGAGCAAACAAAACTGCAGAAGCCTTCTGAATTGGTAAGGAGGTACTTCATGTGACAGCCCCCAAATATTTTAAAACTCAGTATCATAATTATGTACATACAGGAATTACATTTCATTCTTCTACTTGAATACTCTAGGGTCATTGATTTAGAATTTGCCTAATTGGACCTGGAGTCCACTGAAGTTGGTCTTAATACTGTTAGAAAAGAAAGGAGTTTACAAGGCAAACTAGTATAAATAACATAACGATGTTTAACTACTCAGTAGAATAATTTGTACAAGCCCTTTAATAACATCCTTTGCAGTTTAACAGTTAATAAGAGAAATATTAATGGGGCTTATTTTTTTGTAAAAAACAACCTGGATCAGACCTCTGGAAATGCCCAGGGCTGAAAACCTGGAAGCCCAGGGAGCTGCAGTGCTCACAAAGGCCCACTAGAGGGTGAGTGTGGTACACATTGAAATCTCCCTGGTACTGTCACTACCTAACAAGGGCTTCCCACACCTTCTTAAAGGTCTTGATGAAAATCTGAATCCTCAGTGAAGGGTCATCATCATGCTGGAGAAAGAAGTGGCAAGGTTCTTGCAATTTTTAAGGTAAGGATATTCTGGAGAACTTTGAATAAGCTATCTCTAAATAATTTTAATTTCCATTCTGTGAGTTTGTTTTCTTTGCTTCTGCCTTACTTGATTCTGGATCATAGTTTTCCACCCCTTAGAAAATATGTGTTGACTTTGCGACATCCTATTCAAGAGTAATGCCAAGAGTGTGAACAGGCTACAGGAGAACTGGTTAATAAAAAGCACCTAAGAAAATATTTAATGGAGTCTCTACCAAAAAATTCAGTGCTTTACAATTTTTCTAAATATACTAACTAGTCATTTTCCCCAAAAAACATCTGTCAGCAAAATGATTTATAAAGCTTTCTCCATTTCGTAAATCAGAACAGTCTCGAGAACTGGTTGATTCAATTGTACTCTAAATAATACATGTGCTGGTAATTGGGGGGAGGTAGAGGCAGTTATTTTCTGTCTTTCTAAGAATGATTAATTATCATAAACCTTTTGGAAAGAGCCCCCAAATTAGTAATGACTTATACTCAGTAATAGTTTTATTTTAGATGGGGACAAAAAAAATCTGCTGTAAGTACTCAGTGATAAATTTATTGACCACTTACCAAACACAATGCTAGACCCATCCAGGGATTACAAAGATAGATATAATTTGGTCAATGGGCCCTGCACCCACAGGGCTTATACATTTTTAGTAGGTGTGACAGATGTGTAAACTATTAATGAGTAGCACGGGATATCCAGAAAAAAGTAAATTTCCTACCTTCTTCTGTCCAGTAACTTAAGTCCGTTCCCTTTGAAGCAACAACTTTCCCCATTTTCCTCATGTTTCTGGAGGTGTTCTAGGAATATGTACATATACTACACACACCTTTAAAGCACAAATCACAGTATACTATACACCCCACTGTTCCTTACTTTGTTCATGCAGAAGACTAGAACTTGAGACATTATTTCTCAGTTTTGTATATCTGAACAGATCCTTTAACTTCTTCATTTGTGTTAATAAGACACATTGTTCTTTAAAGTCCCTACCATTCAATGTCTAAGGCAGTCACTAGAGAGCTAAAATTGTTAATCCATACCAGAAATACACGGTAATACCCGGTAATGTATAAGCTGGGACTTAATTCCATCTTTGGGAGTGATTGAATTTATTTAATAAACCCTAAGCTTGTGGTGATATCTTTAAGAATAAGCTAGGATGCTTGGCCCTTCACCCTTCCATCAATTCAGCAATTGTGTTGGATTATACTTAATAATCTTTAAACCAGGACAATCTAATGAAACATTGGAAAACTGGAAGAAAGAGAAATGCCTGGAAGAAGACCAGTTGAATACCAAAGGCCCAGTGGGATCCTACTTTACTACAATTATTTCCTCTTGTAGGCTTGGCCTTTCTCTCCTGAAAACCACCTCCTTAGGTCTGCCATCTGCCATTTCTCTGGCTCTTTATTTAAATAAACTTTGTTCAGTTTTAACTTGAATATTTATGTAGAGGCCCCGATTAGAATTTACCGCTTGACTTACCCTTACTAATTTCCCTCTTGTCCCTGAGGATATTTTTGGTGGTCAAAGTGGTGTGGTGGTTCTCCCCAAATCACTCAAAAGAACATCAGATTTGTGTAATGCTGTACAAACACCTGGCGGGAGGAAGGAGACTTGGAATTTCAGCTGGGAAAAATGGTAATAATGGGTTTTCTTGCCCCTTTTTCTGAGGATGCAGGACACAATGTGGTGAGTTCTAGTCGGTGTTTTCTTAGATTTCTATTTGATAATGTGTGTATGCATGCTTGACTATACACGAACATAAACATGTATAATGTGTGTGGACAGTGGATCTTTACCAGTCAGGCCAACTTAGTGATGGATCTCATGTCATTATGGGAGAAGCCTTTAGAAGAAGCCAAAGACCTGGATTTTGGTTGTACCTCTGCCATTCATCATGTGGCTTTGGGCAAGTCCCTTATCTTCACTAAGCCTCAGTTTCCTTCCCTATAAAACAGCAACTATAAAAAAGAAATTACAATCTCGGCCTCTCCCACAGAGCTGTTCAAGGACATGAATGATAATATGAATTATTTTTTGTAAGCTGAAAAGCACCGTTCAAATTTAAGTTATTATTAATGGAGTGTGACCAAAAAGACAAATCAAAACCAACTGAAATGTCAAAGACTTTCAAAGAAGGATACTAGCCAAAATAAATGTGAGGTTAACTGCAGTAATGATAAACCTAACATGAATAAAATAATGACCATTAAAATGTACTTGTTAAAAATGGCAAAAAAGAACAGCTGAACTAGGGCAGTTACTCATTCTGGTGTCAGAATCGCCAATGCTAATCATTCTGAACAGCCCTAAATGGTTCCCTATATTTGGGAAGGGCTGCAGTGAGTTTCAGTTTCCTCATGTGACCCGTAATGTATATAGCAGAATAATGTGATATATTATTATTTTAGACGCTCCTCAGCATTTTATTTGTACATTTATCCCCATGAGATGTTGGCTTGCTGTCCAAAAGAATGTTTAAGTATTTAAACCTTCAGTTCTTGCCTTAAATCCAACTTTCCCTTTCACATGGCGCTAACACAGTGCGCATGTCTGCCTGCTACCGTGTGTGTGTGTGTGTGTGTGTGTGTGTGGTGTAGAGAAGCCTCTCTCATCTGCTGCTTGACAGTCCCTCACACAGGATTTGTAGTTTCTCAAGGCCTCAGATTTTTTTTTTAAAGATTTTTTTGTTTATTCACAAGAGATACGGAGAGGCAAAGACATAGGCAGAGGGAGAAGCAGGCTTCATGCAGGGAGCCCGATGCAGGACTTGATCCCAGAACCCTGGGGTTACAACCTGAGCCAAAGGCAGATGCTCAACCACTGAGCCATCCAGATGCTCCATCAAGCCCTCAGATTTATCATCTTTGAAGCAAGGGGAAGTTAGAATCCTACTCCTGTAGTATTCACCAGAATTGTCTTCTTGGCTTTCCTATCCATGCCTCTCAAAGAATGTTCTCTACTGTTTACATTTCTCAGAGCAATTCATTCCTTAGCTATAGATATGTGAGGAGTGCCTACTAATTGTTACAAACTGTTATGGGTACTGGAGAGAGAAGTGAATTAGAGAGATGAGGTCCATGATCTTATTGAACTCACATTCCAGTGTGGGGAGATGGGCAATAATAAACAAGTTAAAGATAAATTTTATAGTTTTAGATTTGAGTGCTGTGAAAAAGAAAACGAGTGAAGGGCTGGAGAATGACTTGAAGTAAAGACACTATTTTGGAAAGGGTGATGGCGGGAGATATCCCTGAGGAAGAAAATTTTGGATAGAGATGTGAAAGTTGAAAGCCTTGTTTGTCTCTCATGATACAATACTAAAACAAACAAACAAACAAAAAATCCAGAAAGTCCGATATATCACAATGATAGTTATAGGTGACTTTCCCTAATGTAAACCATTGTTTCAAAGCTTTATGCTTCATCTATGTCTGTCCTCATTTTGACCTCTTTATTATATCTTTTTTTTCCTGGAGTTTTCTTTTTTTCTTTTAAATCTTTCTCTAGATTTCAACCCTACTATGTAAGTTTGCTAGGTCTACCATGACCAATTATCTTAGACTGGATGGTTTAAACAATGGAAGTTTAATTTCCCCCCAACTGTGGAGACTAGAAGTCAGAAGTCAAGATATTGGCATAGTGGGTTTCTTCTGAGATCCATCTCCTTGGCTTGTAGATGGCCATCTTCTTCCTATGTCTTCACATGATCTTTCCTCTGTGTATTTGTGTCCTTTATAAGGACACTAGTCATGTTAGATTAGAGCCTACCCTACTGAACTCATTTTGACTTTCCTCTTTAAAAAACCCCTCTTTAAATACAGCCACATTTGAAAGTGCTAGGGGTTAGGATTTCAAAATATGAATTTGGGTGGAAACACAACTCAGCCAATACCTACCGTTCCTGTAGACCAGGCCAATTGCTCCCTCTTTTGCAAAGTCCTCCCTACCTTTTAAACCATTATTATCTTCCTTGTCCAATTGAAATTTAACACAAAGTTAAATGCAGCTCATCAACCTTATGTTTTTTCCTTTTCTTTCTTTTTTTTTTTTTTTTTTGGTTCATTAAACCTCAATATGATTGTTAAGTTTCCTGAGGACAAGGAAAATATGTGATATTAGTTTGATTTTCTCAGCATCTATTGAAAGAGCTTTATAGTCAAAACTCTTAAGGTTGGTAGGGGCTTTAGAAAATATCTACTTTAGCCTCATTCTGCATTTAGAATCCTGTCTACAAGAGTTGCTAACAGAAAGCCCTCATATTTCCTACTTAGATATAATGATAGAAACATTCATAAAGCAACCTATTACCATGTCATACAACTTTCCTTTAAGATTTATTTATTTTAGAGAGAGAAAGAGCACAAGTCGGGGAGGAGCAGAGAGAAAGAATCTGAAATAGGTTCTCTGCTGAGCACGGAACCCGACCTGGGGCTCCATCTCACGACCCTGAGATCATGACCTGAGCCAAAGCCAAGAGTTGGTCACTTAGTTGACTGAGCCATCAGGTACCCCATGTCGTACAACTTTTGTTATTATTTTTACCTAAGCAGCTGGTAGGGAAGACCCACTTTTTTTGATTCATACATGGCAGTGCCCATATAGCTTGCTTTTAATGGGAAGTGAGAAGGGGAAATTAAGAATATATCCCAAAATTGGCTAAGGCAAAAGATGAATGGTTACATGACCTGTTACTTTTATGCCAATAAGCCTACCTTAGGATCATTTAAGGATATATAACATTGCATAATTGATTAGCATTCAAGATATTAACAACTCTGTTGATCAGGATATGGTTTTATTGCCCTTTACTATGTTAACTAGTTTTGTATCTGACATAGTGTTATCTCAGCATTCTTTTTTATCAGCTCATTATGATAAAAATGAACCCAAGTTCATAATATTTTATTTCAAACCAACTTTGTCATCATGTTAAATAAAACTTTGACATGTTCACTTGTGAATGAGAATTGTGTTAACATTTTGAAAGTTACTCTTTGATAGGGCATAAAAAAATAACCAAAAACCTAAATATAGGCAGTGTTGGATAATATGGAGAAAAAGCAGGAGAGGGTAGCTAAGGAGGTAGATGGGTATCATTTGTGCAGATGATATTCTTTGAAACCCGTTTTACTATAAAAATGGGAGTCTTCTGTGCTTGGATGAGCTGGCACCAGCATTTTAAAGGAAGGTAGAAGCAACTTTAAATAATAGAGGGTAGAGAAATTCTGAGGGATTTTGGAGGAGATTAAATGTGAGCAGAGTTGATTGCTGCATGGAAGAGAGTCCCAGAAAAGGAGATCTCCAGTGAAGGAACAGTCAAGAAAAGAAAAACTCATTTCAGAAAGGCTTTTTATATTTATTATAGGATATGTATTGTAAATCCCCTCCTTCATGTCCTCAGAGATGAAGAAACTCTAATCCTGCTGAAGAAAACCTAATTCTTTTGTGGGAATTGATTTGGGGGTTAAGTGGAAGAATGGTTCAATGCTGCTCCAGGGTGACAAGGGGTCAAATCAGTGACTGAATATGAGAAAACCAGAAAACCAGAACCAGAGCAGAGGATGGCTAGGGGAGGTGGGCCAATGAACATAAAAGTTATAATAATATTAGATACATTTTTGAGAACTTACTTTATGCCAGCACCATGAACATACTTCAAATATATTATATTAATAATCTTGTATCCACTTACTAAGTTTTTTAAAATGTTAAACTCAAATGATATCTCCCCCATCCTGTATTTATAAAATTGATTATTTTACTGAAATTCAAGACTGTTCAATTCTGAGTTAAAGCTTTTAAATTCTTATTTGATTACTTTTAGGAGCCATCATCTAATACATTATCTAACAAATCTTTCTACTTTGTTTTACAAGTATAGATCTAATTATACTGTCACTTTTCTCCATCTTGTCCTTCAAATACTAGGGCTGCCTTTTTAATTGAAAGAGTTTCTCTGTTATATAGAATGTGATCCTGGACTGGTTCCCTTCCTTTTTGCTTCTTGGACTAGGGACACAAGCTTGAAGGCATTCATGAAGCCAGAAAGCCACTAGCAACATGAAGATGCTAAGATGAAGCCTAAAGAAATATGTTGAAATATTAGATGTTGGTCAGTCACTCCAATGACATTGGACAAGATCATCCCATAAGCACTCATTAGTTTTAATCAATCTGCCCACTTACATCTATCAGGACTGATGTAAATATAAGGCGGCTTAATTTACAGGCTTCAGTGATGAATCCTCTATAACCAAGAGCAGCAAACAGTCTCACCTACGAGCTATGGGTAGAGCATGATGTCACAGGGCCTACAGAAATTTGAGATGTAAATCAGGTTATATCCCCAGCTCTAGAAATGGGCCACCCACATAAACCTTCCGAAATAATCCCCACATTCCACAAATTCTCCAGAAGAGGAGATTTCACAACATTCCCCAGTAACCAACTGCAGGATTTCATAGACCTACATTTCTTAATATCTAATCTGGATCTTGCTGAACTTTAAACTCATTTCCTCTTTTCCATTCTCAAAGGAGGTGGGAAACATCTGGAGAATATTTTCCTTAAAATAATAGTCCACATACTCGAAGTCTGCAATTAACTCCTTTTGTCTCTCTAAATGGAATCATATCAGCTGCCAAATAGTTTATAAAATACTTGAGAGGACTCCTAAAAGAGAAAGTTCTAAAGTGGAATCCTTTTTTTGCTTGGTTCTGCTAGTCTCCCTATAACATGAACATATCATTGTTCTCAGAGCATAGAGCACCTAAATTCTAGTTCTGACCTAAAAAAGTTATCTATCCTGCTAAGGCATTGGTTTCCTCATTTGCAAAATGGGAACATTGGCTACATGACTTCAAGGTCCCCTCTAGTTCTAAAATTCTGTGGTAGCTGTGAACATGAATAACATATCCACACTTCATAGATAAATGATTTCATGAAAGTACATGCTCAAGCCTTTTGGATATCATAAAGTTAATTAATCTCACACTTCCAGTTGTTTTTCAATATTTATCTCTCCCTTCTTACAGTTGGAGATGGAACAGGAAGATTTGAATGGTGCCCCCTCCCTGTAAGTATTCTCTGATGAAATGAACTGCACCTGTCCAGAAACAAAAAGAAGGACCTTTTTAATAAAAAGCAAAGTTTAGGAATCAAAATCTGATTTATAATTTTTCTACCATATTTAAAGACTGAATAAAAATTAAAAATTGCTTAGAGAAATCTTCTAAAAGTAGCTACACATGATTTAAAACAACAACAACAACAACAACAACTTCTTCCAAAGTGTAAGCTTAAAGATTCCCTCGAGTCACTTAGCGAACATTGATGTATACCTCCTGTCAGAGAAATTGCAAATGAATACAGAGCTCGCATCTTGGGAAGGAGAGGAAGGTGATGAGTAGTATGACGTTCATTTTGCAAGAAAAATCGAAGATCTGAAACTTAAGGACAGTTCTATAATAAAGTAGCCTGTGATGAGAGCATCCCAAAAATAAGGTTCTCCCCATTCTGTGGGCCTGGTGATATGCAGCAAGGTCAGTTCCTTCCTGGTGATCCTGAGAAGAACTGGAGAGCACTCTGTAGAGCATCATTCTTCATTCTCTGTACCACTACAGTTTGTGTAAATTATACAATGTGAAGTGAAACTGTTCTTAAGCTGTTGCAAGGGAGAATGGGAAAGGTTCCTCTAATGTAATCCATCGAACAGGACATTGTAAAATTGCTTATTTAGAGCAAACAGTTATAATCTATTATGTAAAATATAAATTTCATGGAATGTTTGTTCACTGGAACACACTTTTTTTTTTCCTGCTGCAAACATTTTGATCTCACCCTGAACTCTTGTCCAGGCCAATGGCATTATGGGTGAATTTCAACCAACAGAACTCAGCAATATCCTGTCACATGGATAGTTACAACTTAGCAGTTGTGTGTGTGTTTTAAAAATTTTATTTGTTTGAGAGACAGAGTGTGAGAGCGAGAAAGAGAGTGAGAGCATAAGCAGGGAGGATGGGTAGAGAGAGAAGCAGACTCCCCACTGAGCAGGGAACCCTGATACAGCTCAATTCCAGGATCTTGGGATCATGACCTGAGCCTAAGGCATATGCTTAATGGATTAAGCCACCCAGGTGTCCAAGTTGTGTTTGAAGTACTCCTTTGTAAGTAACACATGAATAAAGTGATAAAATTATACTCATTCCCAAAATATCTGAGGTCACAGAGAATAGAAAGTCTAAACCAAGTTAGGCAAAAAGACAAGAGCATATAACATGTTCCCTGAATGGCCTTCATCTAGGTGCTAAAGTTTAAGAAGCTGGGGTTCCAGGGCAACTCCAGATATGGGAGGGAGGGACAGGGAGGAGTAGATGGCTTGCTTATGGATTCCAATTTTCTGAGGAAGGCTGTCATTAGAAACTCTTGCCTTTTCTCCTTTTCTATAATTCTGTATGCCTTCTAGATACTTCATTATTGCTCAGCATCTTAAGAAACATTGAGAAATTAGGTGAAATTCCAATGAGTTAGTGGTTGTTCTTACAATTAAAAGTCCTGGTGTAAATCTTGAAAATTGAGAAAGTTGAAATATAAAAAACATTGTGCTCAGTTCCCAGCCAGCATGGGCACTTCCTGGAAGCAAGAGAGAGAGCCCTAGATGTTTCTGCCAATTCTTTCCTAGGATGGTTGCAAGGAAGGATTGAAAAGTATGGGAAGATCTTTTTTTTTTTTCTGTCCCATTGTTATTGGCACTTAGTACTCTCTATCAGTATATCCAGAAGATTAAGTTAGCAAGCCAACTTTCTGTGTTAGCATTTTCTTTTTATTAGCAGGCTATTGTGTAGTAGATTATTCATTTTGGTATTTTTATAGGAAACTGTGAAACAAACAAAATTCCTTGAACCAAGGAACGAATCCTAAAGCCTGTATTCTCATCTGCCATAATACTAAAATATTTATTAATTAAGTTACTATGTGGTGAGTATGTGTCTTTAGGGGTTTAAAGGCAAGAGGTACAGGGCATGAGGCAGCCAATTGTTGACCTTTCTTTTTCATTTTTGAGTTGATTATTTTTTGGGTTCAAGTGTTGAAGTTTTATTTAGCTATAATTGCTCTGAGCCACATAACCTTGAATGACTTAATATTAAAAGTCAAACCCTAGAATTTCTGTCTCACATAGGCAAAACATTAAACCAATTCAACAGCACTTGGAAATAAAAATAATTAATCAATTTTCTTCCAAAATTGCCCCCTAACACCCCACCCCACCCCGCCCCCAGAGCTAATCTCTAGTCAAAACAGTAACTCTACTAGAGTTGTGATCTTTAGCCCTGGAAATTTCCAAATTTTAAAAGAACTAAAAAAAAAAAAAAAAAAAACGCAATTTCTTGGTCAGTAAAAATGTGAATTTGTTCTTTCTCTGTTACACCATTCAAAAGTAGCATAAATCATTCCACAAGACTGTTCCCAAAAGTAAATTTAAATTAAAAAATGTTTAGTTCTCAAGCTGGGGCTAAGCCTAAAACACCAAGTTGTGATAAATTGTCAGCCACAGAGAGGACTGCCTCTGAAATCCACCACTTTTCTACCACAGCTCCATCTAGGTAATTAGCCCATGTGGTAATATCCTGCCCTTTGAACACGAGCAGAGCACTGAAAGCGACCAAACCACAGCTATCCTGGTATTGAAAGTTCCATTTTTCTAAGGGTGGAATTTATTTTGAAAAAGAGAGAGATGGATGTGCTGTCTGGGAGGAAAAATCATAAGGTTTTCACAGTTAATTCACTAAACATTTTTCAGAGCAAATGGCAGTGGAGGGAGGAAAGGACAAAGAATTATGTAATCGATGCCTTTTCTTGGGGATACATCTGTTCAGAGGCTGGGAGTGAGCAAGAAACTTTTCTTTTCATGACCAAAATTCACTACAAGGCACAAGAATTCACAGAAACATGGAATGTCACTGATAAACATGCTTTACCAATGTTGTTTCTTAAGGCCTACAGGGTGAAGAGGAACTGAATTGGAGATGAGAGATGGGGTATAGTCATTTCTCAGATATGACACCCTTGTGAGCTTTTCAGGGCCTCCTTTTCCTGACCTATTAAATGAGGAAAATGAATCAGAAGGAGATGGAAACCCAAGTACCTGGAGAAGCAAGGATAGGGGAATGAAGGAGTTGACTGGCCAGAGTGTGTGATGAACTAGGGAGTCCTGCTGCATCCAGCTTCGAACCACTCATTCATACATCTAGTTTGGGCAGGTCTTCTCATTTTTCAAGAGAAACCACAAATCAGGAAACTTTTTTGTTAAAAAATTTTGGCTCAGTTCTTTTTTTTTCTTAAACACTAACTGACAGAAAAAAAAAAAATTACTCCGGTCAGAATCCAGCCTTTGGGCTGCTGGGTACACTTTATACCAGGTGGTCTCTAACATCTCTCTAGTTCTAAAAGGCTATATGGGGGCCTCCCATGCTTTTATTTGCTTCAGTTTCTAAGTCCTGGCATTGTTTCTCTACTCAACATTGGTTTAATTTAATTACTAAATTCAACAATCTTATATTGAAATTGTAGATGCTACCACAGTAGTGGCTAGAAATATATAAAATAAGTGTAGGTAAAACAAGGGCCTACTGAAGAAGTTTCCAGTCAACTGTTGAAAGTTAGATCTTGATCTACTATGAGTGTCTCACTAAAGACAAAACAGACCTTAGCCCAGATGGGATGGATGGGTGGGTAGTGTTTATCAGACACAGGATCCTTGAGGGAAACTGTTTAGACCTAAAGGTTGAAGAATAAATAGAAATTGTCCAGTAGAGGAAGGAGAGCAATGAGTGAAGGGCTTTTTGTGTCCTTCCTCAAAATTATCTAAAAGCAGACATTGGCAACTAAAACAGTAAAAGCTCAGTTGTCTGCAGTGGGTAGGGGGGTAATGCTTAATAGTAGCAACTGTGAGCTAACTGCCTGAATTAAATCCTGATTCTATCACCTACAAGCTTTGTTATCTTAGGCAAGTTACTCGACCTCTCTGCGCTTCCATTTCCTCACAATAAATTGGGAGTGTTGATAACATTACCCATTGCCTGAGACTGAGGAGGAGATGAAGGGAATTGCATGTAAAATGCTTAGAGCAGTGCCTAGATATATAAGTACTTTATGTGTGTTAGCTGTTACTTGAAGGAGACAAGCAGGAGTAGAAGTAGTAGTAGCAGAGGGGATCACGAGCACATATTCCACGATACTTTGCTTTACTGCTGTCCTGTTTTTGAAGAATTTGAGGGTGATGATTTTTGTCCTCACTCTGCTCTAGGACTATTATGAAAATTCGTTGAGAGTCTGAAGACATTTAGGTAAAAAGAGTTCCTCATAAGTGGATAACAAGTACTGTGTCTGTGTCTCCAACTCTCAGTGCAGCCTACATCCTACCCTCTCATCTCATGTGAGCCCTAGTTCAAATGCTGGATGTCTTCCCGCTGCCCTTCCCTCCGTGAACTCACCACTGGGCAGCCTGTTTCTGTACTGACTGCAAAGGGCTTTGGCTTTGAAATTCAGAGAGCCTAAGACAGTTTTTGCAGGTGATAGATAGCAGTAGGTTGACCTTGTGGGAGTAGCTGCAGAGCTAAGCTACCTTTTATTGCTGAAGGAAGAAAAATTTGCAAGTGTAATGGTTATAGACCTTTAGGTCAGAAAAATAATCAGCCTACAATCATTTTCTTCGAAGATTTTCCATGCTATTTTTGGAGACTCAAATAATAACAATATTGCTATAGTAAACACTCACTTAGTGTTTACCATGTTCTAGGACTTGTGTCTGAAAGATTCATGTACCCCACCCTAGACCCGGTAAGCCACAGACTCTAGCTTAATTCAAAACTATATTGAATTTTGTATCCAAAAAAACACAGATTCAGTTTAACCCTAGACCTAGACCTGGTAAGCCACAGACTCTAGCTTAATTCAAAACTATATTGAATTTTGTATCCAAAAAAACACAGATTCAGTTTAACAACACACACTGCTTTTGTAGTTAGTGCAAAGGTAACCTCAACCCAAAATACCACATAAATCCCAAACCGTGTTTAGCCATAGCACTTAAATTAAATAGAAGAC